TTCAGCTATTGTCAAGTATTAACTTACATGGAGCAGTGGTTATGTTAATCATATAAATAGGTGATGGTGAACTAGAGTGTCGAAATATGTATTAAAGTCAACTGGGTAAATAGGTTTAAAAATCGTACTTTATTGTGATTCTGAAAATTTTAAACTGATGACGTAGCCGTCTGTCAATGTAAGAAGCAAATTATTGTCAAATGGTTGTATTTAAGCAAATAAACAGTCTTTGTTGCTTAAAGTAAATTATAACTGTTTCAATATGAGATAAAAAATAATCTGAAGGCAAAATTAACCACAAAGTGACTAGATTGATGTATGCGATAAAATTACTAACAACCTGATAAAAATGCTTCAATATATGCATAAACTCAGAGGGAGATAACAAAAGAAAACATAAAAGTATAATAATAAATGCTACATAGTACAAAAGTGTAATGAGACTATAATTTATGGACGACCTTTGAGCAATGCTAAAGTGATCTTGAGAATACTAACCTACCAACTGGAATTAAATTAGGGTTATAAAGCAGTGTGAGGAATTAGAATTATGATTTACAGTTGATGGTTAGGGTTAGGAACTAGATTTATGATTTATATCACGAACTAACATCAGTCAAAATGCCAAAATGCTATTTAGTCAAATGGAAGAATGATTTTCGCACCAAAATCCAAGACCCGTTATCCTAAATCTAATTGGTTCATTTATAAATTATAACCTTTTACACACTTCCCTTACATTTAGTTTGAAATTTTTCAATTGTTTAAACTGTTGAAGATGACTCCTATAAGTATATGCTTTTATGTAGTACAGGTCTTTAACGAAACCTTTACACATATATTGAAATAAAAAGCTAACTAAACCTTTCTAAGTATTTGCAGATGGGATTATTATAAGTATTTTGAAATAACCTGTATTTTTTAACAGTATTTCAGTAGTTCATATATATGATATTGAATTAGTTAATGTTTCACGCAACTATGTTTTTTACACAGGTAATAGAACAGAAAATGAATTAAATTAATTTTAAGTAAATTAATAAGAATCCAACGGTGTAAAATTTCAGCTTCACTCATTTTGTTACGTATACAAGCACTGTTATTACTAACAAAAATTTCACCTACATATAACAAAATTATTTCAAGGGCTTTAAGTGTCATGTAAACTTCAAGAGGTATAATATGTAGATCTTTTATCTAATATATTAATGACATTGTTATCTACGTACTGGAAATACAAGTAAATTGATTTGAGCACTATCCATTTATGCTCATTTTAAGCATTTGTTGCACAACATTAGATACATGTTTATCTATCAGACAGCTGATAGAATTTCATATATCAAACATTTTAAATCATCAATGGGATTTCTTGAAATTTTATAATTATCATAATGTAATTTATTATAGATTATCAGTGATTTAATAAATATATAATAAATCAAAATGAATAACAATTTAACTGAGAATTGACCTCTGAATACTGAAGTCCACTTTATGATTAGAAGTAGAATGTACAAAATTATTAAGTTTCTGATGATGAAATAAAGAACATTGTTTACTATTTACTTACACCTGCTACTCCTCGTGGAGAAGCACGGGCCGCCCATCAGCACTTTCCATCCAACGTTGTCCTGGGCAGTCCTTTCTAGTTCGTTCCAGTTGCTATTCTTCCTTTACATATCTGCTTTCATTTCCTGACGTAGTGTGCCTTCCGCTATTCCGCTTCACTTCAGGATTCAAAGTTAGCGTTTGCCTAGTGGTTCAGTTTGGTGATTTTCTCAATGTATATCCTATTCACTTCCAATATCGTTTCCTAATTTTCTCTTCAATTGGAAGCTGGTTTGTTCTCGCCTATACTAGACTGTTGCTGATGGAATCCGGTCAACTGACATTGATTATCTTGTATAGACAACTACTTATAAATACTTGTACCTTTTTGGTGATGGTTATAGTAGTTCTCCACATTTCAGATCTGTACGTATTGAAGATTCTGACTTTGATATTGGTTGGAGGTTGTTTTGAGTTCCATATATTCTTCAATTGTAGGAATGCGGCTCTTGTTTTGTCAATTATAGCTTTTACATCTTCATCAGATCATCCACGTTCATCTATGATGCCACTCAGATACGCGAAACTTTTCACTTCTACAGCTTCTCCGTCAAGTGCAGTTGGGTTGGTGTTCTTGTGTTGTGTTTGAGGACCTTACTTTCTCCTTTGTGTTTGTTGAGGCCTACTGATGCAGAGTCTGCTGTTACACTGGTTGTATTGACCTGCATTTGTTGTTGTGTGCAGGATAGAAGAGTTAGGTCAACTGCGAAGTGCGAATTGTCTAGTTGCATGCAAGCTTTCCATTCTATTCCGTGCTACCCCTGAGTTGTTGAGGTCTTCATAATCCAGTCAACCACCAGGAGAAAGAGAAAGAGGGATAGTAGGCAACTTCATCTGACTCTGGTCCTTACATGAAATACACCTGTTAACTGTCCTCTATGCACCATTTTTCAATGTAGTCGTATGAATTCATATTTCCTTCTCTTGCAGCTTTATCCGCCGTCGTTGCTATGTCTTCTACGTATTTCTGCTCGTCGGCTTTAATGCTCTTCTTCACTTGTTCGTTTGCTTCTGTTTACTTAGCTTGTGCCTTTACTTTCTCTGTTCGTGTTCGGCTGTTGTTAATTGCTGTCTTCTTTGATATTGTCCAGTGTTTCTATGGAGATCCATTCCTTATGATGATGCATCTTGAGGCCTAGAACCTCCTGACACATTGACGTTAGTGCTTTTTGGATCGCTTTCTAGTTGTCCTCCACAGTAGTTTCTTCCTCTTTCAGTAGATGCTGTAAGGCTTGGAACCTATTATTGAGAGCTATCTTAAGTCGGTTGAGTTTGTTAGTATCTCGAAGGAAAGCTCTATTGAACCGTTGTAGTGCTGTTTTTCCTGTTGTCCGATGATTTTTTTACCTTCAGTTTCATCTTGGAAACCCTCAGGTGGTAATCCGAAGCTATGTCAGCTCCTCTCCTGGTTCTCACGTCTTCCATTGACCTTCTGAATTTTTTACTGATGCGAATATGATCTATCTGGCTCTCAATGGTGCGGTTCGGTGATACCGATGTGGCTTTGTGTATTTATTTGTGTGATAATGTTGTGCCACCTATAACCAATTTGCTGAATACACATAGATTTGAAAATCTCTCGTTCCATGTCGTCTTATGATATCTTCATAAACATTGTTGTCCATTCCGACTTTGGCGTTTAGATCTCCTATCAGGAAGGCCAAGTCCTTTCTTGGGCACTTCGCTATGATTGATTGCAGCCTCAAGTAGAACTAATCTTTATCATCATTGCCATCAATGGTGGGTCCTTAATACTGGATAATATTCATTGTGATTCCTTACTTTTTTTAATGATGCTTTGATGATTCTGGATTCATGAGATTCTCATCCTATAAGTGCAGTTCATGCTTCTTCGGATTGCATCACAGCAACTCTCTGAGTGTGTGGGACATTTTTCTCTTCGTGGCCGGAGCATGGCAGCATCTCTCTCATATCCAGCTTTTGCTATCCCGCTTGGGTCCAATGGGTTTCGCTGATTTCGAGAACTACCAAGTTTTGTCTTCTCATTTCCGTTGCTATTTGACTAGTCTTCCCAGTCTCACACATTGTTCGAACATTCCATGTACCTATAAGAATTGTTGTTCTGGTTGTTAGAGTGGGCGTCAGTATCATAACCACTGAAGAATGTGGGCTTTCATCATGAGGCGTGGTAATTCTTCCTTCAACTCGGAGGATAGAGTTTAAATGGTTTCTAAGCTCTACAAGATACTGTAGCATTATTAATGTTGATCAATAGAGCCGCACTGAATATTGTTTGAATGTTTATACGAATTTCGCGTTATTGTGACACGTCAAAAATGATTATTTTGATTATCCAGGGAATGTTACTTTGTGTTGAATAGCGCCTGTAACACATCCACTACTAGTTAGGCTAATGTTGAGAGTTATTGGGTTACTGAATGTGTATTTTTTTATTACATCTAATTGTGGATTTTCTTTTATGCTGAAGTATCACTTTACTTTTAGTTATTTTCATGAAATCCCAGATTAAGTCCACTTATTTGGTAAAAATCTCTATCACCCACAACTCGTGACCAGGTAGCCACTATTGTTCTCATTCTCCTGAATTATTGATGATCAAGCTTATTAGGTAATATTAAGCTGATTACCGTTTAGTATGGATTAGTAACACTAAACATAAACAGCACAACCTACTAAACGATGTGAATTACAGAATTGTATTCTCGATTAAAGTTTCCAACCTATTGCAATGACCTAATCTCTTTGTAGGGGTTTGAAGTGTTCAAAAATACCACTTGAAATTTATGTACTTTAGAAGAAAAATGTCAGAATTACAAGAAATTGATACTGAAGCAAGAGAAAGTTAACAATTATTGTTTTAATTCTGTTTCTCACTATGACGTTCGTCTGATGGCCATATTTCATCGGATTATTGAACAATCAAATGTATAATACATTTTAAGAAAATTCCTAGGGTAAATTATATGATCCTAAATGCTGGATAATCATCTAAATAAATCAACTAATGAACTAATGTGATGTAACCAAAATTGTATTTCAAAATAAGATCAGCCTGTTTATTTTACCGTCATTTCTACACTTCAGCAAACATAGTTGTTTGGATAAAACTTATTAATTACTTATCTTCCAAATGAAATAAGGAAATGCCATGATATTTAAATATGTTTTGTAAGCTTAATTACAACTGCCTATAAAGTAATGTTTCATAAAATTTCCAAAATTTAACCTCCTACTTTCTTTTACTATTATTCTTTGACACTCAATGCACACAGTATCGATTACGAGGTTTTGACCAATCTCCCTATTTGTACTGGGCCAATGTAAACACATAGATAGCTTGACACATACAGACAATGAGATGAATTTTGATTATACAGTCTACCTCTTCTTATTACTAAAATAAGCAGGTATTCTATATGACTTATTTTGCCCTAATATGCACACATACAATTGTAATATCATATGGCGATGTGTAAATTTATTGTGAAATTCATTTTGTGCCTTTTTCCGAAGTAAAATACCGTCATCAGATTGGCTGACTGAAATAATTAAATTTCATTTAATAAAATTGCAGGCCGAAAACATCACCGAATTATACACCAAACTTGTGGATTTCTTTCTTAGTTAATAGTTGAACTTGCATTCTGAAATTTATTAATAACAATATCATGTCAACTATCGCTATGCCGGCTACTGCTTATCAAGCATCTACTCCTGGAAACCCCCCACAAATCTTAGGTCCATTATCTGGCGGTGGTGAAGTACCAGAAGGAGAACCTGTTCATTTAGAATTACGAATAGCTCCTCCAGGTGATTTACAAGTACAGTGGTTTAAAGATGGCGTTGCATTAAGCGCAGGTGAGTAATTATGATTAAATTATCATAATATTAGAATCAAGTGTCTTTTTTAAATATTATTTAGTACGAACTATTGATATATTACTGTTGAAAAATTCTTCCCATTATTCTTAACCATATGACTAGTCACTTATTTAATAGCAGGCTTTAAAAATGTAAAGAAATAGTATCCAGGACTAATCATCATCCAGACATCAATAACATTGGAGTCCACCTCAGAGTCCAGAGACCGAAGGTCCTGGATTCGAACCTCGCATGAAGGATCCTGGGTGCTCACTCCTGAAGAGTCCCACCATAGGACGAAACGGTCTAATATTGATCTGTTCATGATCTCAATTAATAATCTACATCGCGTTGGATACAATTTGTGATTGATTCAATATTTCAGGTTACCAAAATATGTCTAAAAAACAAGAAATATGCATATCTAACGTACGGAGAAATAAAAAAATGTAATCTTAAAAAATAGTCATAAAACTTATTCAGATACCGAAATGAAAAATACCGAACCACAAGTATCTAATTATAAATGTACCTGAAGCAATGTAGGTAGATGAAACTAGAGGCGTAGTACATTATGAGTGGTCAAAATTGAAACTTTTCTGGATTGAATTTATATGAAGGTCAAGATACTGGCGTCACAAGTGTGATCAAATGTGCAATAATTAGCGATTAACCTTTCATATCAAGATCAATAACGCGTTTTATATACAAAAAAACTGTAACTTGAGGATCTGAATTGTATAGTCAAATTCTATGCAATTATCATCATAATAACTACTGAGAAAGTTGTATGCTCTCAATATCTGTAAGGTAATAAATAAAACGTAATTGATTAGGTTAATGAAAGGTCTTTTTATCTATGACTTGTGAGATAACGTCTTTTCAAAAGTGTAGATGGAATTTTCACCTTTATTGAAGAAATATTGTAGGCATCATCCAAATGAGTACTTCTCTGTGAAAAAGTGTCCATATCTCGTTTCGTTTTCATCCACATTTATTTCATACTTACGTTGATACTGTATACCAGATGTTAAGCAATTTATGGAATAGAAAGTATCATATTCGATAGTTGATGAGATCTATCTTTTGGTGGATAGAAGCGGTTAGGAACTTCATTAAGTAATTCATATTTTTTAAAATGTGAGTTATCTGTTTGATTGTATGATCACTAACTATTCGGTGCACAACAATTTGTCAATTTATTAATTTCAACTGTTGTACCATATCTTGGTAGTTATTTTGTGGTACCCAATGGTCAGTCTTTACTTATTTAGTGTTGATCTCTACAAAGAATGGTCATTTGATAACGAAGAGTATTTTAAAGTTCTTAATAAAACGTAATCAAATACTGTACTATCAGCTAGTGATTGCCGAGTTTAGTTGATGTAGTTTGTTGTAGCTACATGTAAGTGCATTAACTTATTTCCTCACTCAGTCCTCTCTTACTATAGTACAATATTGGTTGGTGATAGTATTATGTTTTAGAATATTAAGATATTCATCATCTTGGTCAATAGTTAATTTGTTTTAATAGATGATGATAACATGTAGAAAAAACAAGGTATTTCTTTATACTGGTCAGTTATTTTTATATAAAATCATATTTTATATTTAATTTATCAAGGTTCTCGTTACAATACAATGTGTGAACGTGGTTTAGCATCACTAGATGTCATCTATACAATTCCAGAGGATAGTGGTACTTATTTTTGCGTCATTTCAAATCCATATGGCCATGCTCAAAGTGAGGCAGTTCCTGTAAAGTAAGAATAACAAATATATCAGAGTTTGTTTAAATTTTTATCAATGTTCATTTTTAGTGAGCAGTTTGTATAACAGTTTTTATGATCATTATGCAACGATAGTACAATTTCAATAAACCAAACGCATAAACGTATTAAGAAGTAACTTTTAATTTTGAATCGCATTTACAACTGTAAACATTTTACTCCTGTCCTATGTATTGTAGAATATTTAGAGTTTACGTTGTTGTCAGTCATTTGAACTCTCTGTTTAGTTGTTTAAGATTCAAGTTGATCGTATAATTTCAATTGTAATCTCGTCTTTCATTCACCCGGCTAAAAATTAATCCGATTTTCGAGAAGCAACGGTTAAGGGTACTTTGGAATAATCGAAAGGTCCATCTGAAATAACTTAGCTGCTGTGAGCATACACACTACATTTCGACCAAGAGATCATTCATTACTGAAGTTTAGCTTGTGCCTACGCGCAAAATAGGCTAAGAGAATCAGTAATATGGATGCAACAACTAGTCTTTCTGAAAAATTATTAATCAAATCGCATTCTAAATGTGGTGCCGTTATGCAGTGGAAAATATTCTATAATGTAAATAATTTTTTCCATGATATGTGGTCCTTATTAGTAGTTTCTTCTTTTCAGAACTCTCATATGTTAGTTTTATGTTTCGACTCTCCGTTTTTTGCAACGTCCCTATCAAGTTAGTTTAGTCATCATTGTGTGAAATTTTAATCAACTGTGCCAAAAGTTCCTTGTTAAGAATTTTATTATTTAAAGAAAAGGAAATTCCGGATAAAATTCAGCAGTTTGAATTCACTTGGTATTGTTTACTGAAATCTTCACATTGAGGTTTAGGAATACAATTGATCAGTCTCTTATTGACATATGTGCATACTGTGCGTATTGCCTCGATATTGCTTTAATTCACAAGCATTCTAAGCAAAGGTGGGTGGTGGCTATCAGTGGAATCTAGGATGCGCGTTTCGTTCTATTTGGGACTCGCCAGCTCGATGTACCTGCGTCTCAGAGTTAATGTTCAACTTGGGGCTCGAACCCAGTACCGTTCGCTTCAAAGGCCATCGTGTTATCCACTTAGCTACTGAGTTCAATTGAATTTAAACTTCACCCCGTTATATAAGCAAGTGGCTATCCACCACAGGCTATGAAAGATGGCTGCATAATATCGCAAATTAGTGTAAGTTAGACATTGACACCGTTGGATTCCACCTCAGCGGTCTAGAGGTTAGACGCTCGTGAGAGACTGGAGGTCCTTTGAAGAGCATCGTACTAGGATGAAACGGCCGTCTAATGGTTCCAGGATTTTAGTGGTCGTTTAACTAACATTACTTCATGAGGTGAATTAAAATGTATGAAATTGTGTAATCTACACAAAACCCTATACTGAATACTCGAATTGTAGACCCTGTCATTTGTGATAAGTAATATATCCTAAAAATCTTATATGACTAAGTTTCAAAGAATAACTGCAAGTTACAAATGTTACTGTATGACAGTAAATAGAATAAAGTAGTCAATATGAGGTTAGACAAACTGTCTGGATAGAAATAATTCTAATACTATCTGCTGTATATTTTCTTGCTATTCTAATAAAATAGGTAGTTTAGGTTAATGTACTAATTATCACTGTCAGTTTCCAAAAAAATACTTATCAATCTAAAGTTCTAAGCAGAATTAAATGAACACAAATGAATAGACTTCGTATTCTCTTACTTCAGCTGAAAATTCTCTGATTAAATTGTTTAATCAAGCCAGATAGCCCTTCATCAAAGAGCTATTATTCACATGATTGCAGACAAGTGTTCCTAAGAGCCGTCGCTAAGCATGAAACCTAGTTGCAAAGCTTTAAGCATCGAAAAACAAAATATGTCCTCCTGTTTTATAGTCCAGCCACCATATTACATAATATGTAATCTCGGGTCAAGACTAGCAAATGGTACTGGTCACTATTTAATTTTATTTATTTGAACACAAACATTGGCACAGAGGGACACCGAATACATACGTGCCGCACAAGTCACTTGGTTTGTGTATGGGCTGTGATACTGACCGGGTGCCCAGACCGAAACAGGTGGTTTTCTTACAGGGCCACACCCTGAGCCTTTAACCTAAAGGTCTGATCCACAAGGCAGTGGAGCATTGTAAGAAGATGCAGTCCCATGATAGTCGGTGACCAACGATTGGTTCATACGCCATTTGTTTCTTCAGGATACTGGAGCCCATGTGCATCATTGGTTTGGAATGAGGGTTTTCCAATTTCTCTAAGTGGACTCTCGGTGTCCACAAACCCGGACTCGGATATTCGCTTTTCGTCCTCTCAATTTCGGAAACAGCACCCTCGCGTGGCCATATGTGAGTATTTCGAGAGGAAGAGCTGACTCTCCCCACCTTCGGTCGTATCAAGGTATTTGGGGGCTACTGGTCACTATGATCTGACCATACTGTATAGGAAACAAGTGACATATTAAGCCGTGATGATTGACGTTTGTATTTGTATTTCGCAAGAACACGAAACTACCATACAATTATTGATTAACATGCTTTTACTTACACAAGCACATCTTTATGTTTAAAACAAATGTCTATTGTCGGCGTGAATAGTGACATAAATTCTAATGAGTCATCCGATACTTGTTTTTAACATAAATGACCTACAAACATATTGTCAGGTCAACAAAAATTAAAACATGAAATATTTTATCCTTATGGATTATTTGTTGTCTGAGGAACTTAGTTTCCTCAATCTTTTTGTATAAACTACAAATAACAAAAAAGAACATGAAAAGTTCTGAATTCTTTGGTTTGGTTTAGATTTCAGGCTAAAAAAAGTGGAAGTCAGTTTCTAATCAAGACATTATAAGGATCTCTTTTCAATAGAATATCAAACTATCCATTAGCAAACCATATGCTTCATATTCAAGTAATAATATAGACACGCTCATCAATATACGATACATTAAATAATTCTCTTAAATGTCAGATGCATTAGTTGAATACAATGATTCTGAGGTCCAAGAGTGACGTGATCGTGCGCGTATATATTAGGAAACTTACGTATTTACGCCTGTTATTCGCAGTGGAGCATAGGCCACTGACCACCATTCTCCAACCCACTCTGTTCTGGAACTTCTTTTCTACTTCTATCCAATTGTTGTTTACTCTTCCCATGTCTGCCTCCATTTCTCGGCGTAATCTGTTCTTTGGTATTCCTCTCCTCCTTTGGCCTTGAGGATTCCAAGCGGGGGCTTGTCTTGTGACGCAGTTGGGTACTTTCCTCAATGTGTATCCTATCCACTTCCAGCACTTCTTCCTCCGCTGGGATCTGGTTTGTTGTCTCCCAGAGTAGGTTGTTGTTTATAGTGTCTGACCAACAGATCCGAAGTATTTTGTGTAGACAGCTGTTAATAAACATTTGTATCTTCTGGCTTTCGTAGTTCTTCAAGTTTCTGTCCCATACAGTAGAACTGTCTTGACATTTGTACTGAAAATTCTGACCTTGGTGTTGGTCTGCAGTTGTTTTGAGTTTCAGATCTTTTTCAATTTTAGATATGTTCCTCTTGCTTTTCCGATCCGCACCTTCACATCTGCATCAGACCCACTGTGTTCATCAATGATGCTGGACAGATATGTAAAGGTTTTTACATCTTCCAAATCTTTTTCGTGAAATGTGATTCGATTGTTGCAAGCTGTGTTGTAACGGAGAATCTTGCTTTTCCCTTTGTGTATGTTGAATATATTAGCAAAACTCATGTTTAAATAAATTGGAGTAGTATCAAACATCTATCTGGGACAATAAGAACCCAGTATGTATTGATTTTTACTAACTAATATTTAAAACGACCTTTAAGAAAATGGCTGACAAAATAGTTCACTGTTAACGACAGAGTAGTTTAAAATAAAACAATGAGTTGATCAAATGAATGTTCCAGAATTATTAATTATCAATTTACATCTTTGATACATAAAGAATATTATCTCCAGACTGCTTAATGTTATGATGCTTGTCTGTTCCATCACGCGAAACATTCCTGAACACCTAATAAATATGCCAGCTTCTTCTTTAGAAGAATATTGATTGTGTGATTGTAATGATATTCTAAAAATACATACTGAGATAACTTACATGCACCATATCTAATGCAACAAAGGATTTTCAATGCTTTTCTTCGGATTAGTAGGTTCCATAGGGTTTCGGTATATCTTACGTTTCAAACAAGGAATTAATATGGAACATTTAACGATAAACCTATGTTTATCATGATGGGTAACGTTAATCTTTTAATATCATGTAATGTTATGACGCTTTATGCAGTTATCAATTAATCTTTTAATACTTTTTGTAGTGTAATACCTGAAATTGATCCAAGTCAAGATCACGTAGATGTACAGTCTGCTGATGTCTATCAAGCAACTAGTGCACCTACAAAAGAATATGAACGTGATCAGAGAAGTCAGCCAAAGAGTGCACCACATTTTACTCAACAACCGGTGATTAGTAGTAGTGATGTTCTTGAAGGAGAACCTGTCAGAATAGAAGCATATTTAAATACAACAAGTGATTCAACACTACAAGTTGATTGGATGAAAAATGGACAACCAGTTGGTACAGGTACTTCTTTTGTTAAGTTTGATGATTTATCAAATATAAATTTAACTAGTGATAATGAAACTTCAAGGATTTTATTATTTAATGAACCCAGATATATATCATTTAATGATTTTTTTTATTTGTACAGGAAGCCGTTTTAACGCTGTCCTTGACAGAGGTTTAATCGTTCTGGAAATCGGATACTGTTTAGCCGAAGATAGTGGGTTGTATGTTTGTGTAGCTACAAATGCGCTTGGCCATACGGAGAGCCAACCTGTGGAACTGAGGTAATTATTTAATTCAATCATATTTATTTCTAGTCTTCAACGATTCCAACTTCTAATTTGATCTATTTTCATTGTTTCTATAAATTTCAATCATTTTACTTCAGAAAATAATTGACTGAAGAACATCATATAGCATTACTGTGTTTGCTTTGAATAAAAGATAATTTATCTTAGATTAAAGCAATAATTTATGTCCTTAGACAATCAGCCGAATGTTCGCGATCTAGATTCTATGAGTTCGAATGGTCTTCAACAAACCCGCATTAGAATTTCAAGAAAATTTCCTCGAAAATAGGGGAACTTTCCTACTTAATACTGAAGTCACAAACATTGACTCTTTTGAGAACCTGACTGAAAATCTTGAAAAAAAATACATTCGTTTAGAGAAGGTTTTAAAAGAAAAAATAACCAAATGAAATTATTTTTTGAACCAATAAATCTGTCTCATTACCTGATATTTAATTCATAGACTGCGCTTGTGAATCATGCTTTGTTTACTTCAGCTTTGAATACAGTGAAATTATATGTAGATCCAGTTGACAATGAGACTGAAAACCTGGCACACAAAATTTTAAATTTCATGAATAAATTGCATTGCGTTATTCGTTATTTCACTCTTTGCCTTTACACTTAGATGCCAACCAGAAGAACGAATTGTTACCAAGTCGATTCTGGATCAACAATCTATAAATCATTTGAAACAGCTAGAGGAACCTGGCGAGGATTACGATTAGTATGTACCATTCATCTTACATTATTTATCATTTTATTTTGCATTTGTTAAATGGTGTTAGATAGAGAAAGTTACTTCTTAGTAGTTATTCTAGTGATAAGTTCTCACTGAAAATGAACCTTAATATAAAATCGATCTTATGGAAAACCATTCTTTTAAGTATGAGGGTCATGAGGAATAAGCAACCTTCATATTCAGGGTAATCAAAGCTAGGCACTGTTTGCTTCATGTTGAAGCAATACTATTAAGTACTTAAGTATATTGTAGGCTAACTGAACATGATTTATAGCATAGAAATCATTATAAGGCATCTAAGAATATACGACATTTCTTTCAAATGAAATCTATGAACTATCGAAAGCGTTCAAAGCTTAGTGAAATAGCTGGTCACATTTTTTGATGTTCAGCGTTTTCTAAAATACCATTATAAATTATCACTTAAAATTTCAAAACTTACAGCTACCTTTAGATTTAAATCTAAAGATACAAATCTAATTGAATAGATTTTAACATTTAAAATAGTATGTTCTGTAGTTAAGTCCATTATAAACAGTTGATATTTTCCCTCAGCTTAAATTAATAAACGAGAATCATTTTTACCAAAATAAAACTCTATTTTAGCATGATCAACTCAACTGTTCAGGGTATACCACCATCTTTCAAAGCGAATTTAGAACCTTCTTCAGTCGAAGTTAGTGAAGATGAACCTGTAATTTTTTCTGTACCTGTTGACTGTGGAAACGGAGATCGTTTGGTTATCGAGTGGAAACGTGATGGTCAGGTCGTTAAAACAGGTAAATAATTTAAAAAGAAATTTTCATGTAACCTGATTTAGTATTATTAAACTGATTTACTACATTATACTTAACCTATATTGAACATAATACCTATTTTTAACCCATAAACTGATTTTGAAGACACGATTTATGGAAAGTAACGTGTACATCTTCGTACACAATGAGGATAGATCTTATCATGGTTATTGTTAATTTTTTAGTCACACGGTTCTTTCTTAGAGCAAATGGTTAATAAATGGGTATAAATAATCACTGAAAGCCGTTCTTATTTTATGTTGATATAATTTCAAAAATTAATAGTGTAAGATAACACTTAAAAAGTGATTATTAGTTGTAAACTATATTTTGTATTTACCTAGTAGTTTATTAGCAACAACAATAATAGTATTCAGCATGTTCAGCAAACCTTCCTAACATTCAGTCGCCAATCCATCATATACTCAGTAAAAATTAATACAAAAATTTGAGAAAATCCTCGAAAGTGTAAGATTTCAACGAATCGTTAAAGCAGATCAAGTATTCAGATAACTGACAGAAATATTTTTATCACCCAACAAGCAAGACAATTACCTTTACTTTAGATTGTAACAATAATAATCAATCGATAAACGTATAATTCTACATTTACAAGCTAATGACTTAAAATCAACAGGAATTGGACATATATATTTCATAAAGGTTATTCAACGCATTACGCTTTTATGAATCAAGGAATTATGTTTTTCAAGGCTTGGTGAACACGATACAACTGTCATCATTATATGTAATAGATCTTTCATATGAATAAGTTTATAGGCATCAATGCCAGGCAAGGTTGGACTTGATAGTTTGGAATAAATTGATCAATGGGTAAAAAGTCAATTATAAATATATTTTATAATATTCAATTTGTTTCTTAGTAACTATCATACTAATGCTTAACTTCATTTATTGAATATTGCAATCTTATAAAAATCAATAGAAATAGGAATAAAAATTCATTATTATTTATTATTATTAATAATCCACCTAATGATCAATGGTATTTGAAGTCAAACCTTGGTAATCATACTTATAAATATAACAGTTTATTTTTCATGACTGTTTTCATATTAATCTGTTGGTGATATAAAATCGATAGTCATATTAGTAGCCAAACACAATAAATAAATGTAGTTCAATCGTTTCATTTACAAACTATAACAAAATGAAGTAAAATACAATTGTCTAGCAATTTCTCTCTGTAATGTACCGACGAGAATTGTGAATGGTAACTCTTGAGAACTATTTATGGACTAATAAGACTATATATATAGTATAATTGTTAAGTAGCTAAACTATACACAATCATATGCCTCTTATTGTAGGCTTTATTTTGAGCCATAGACTATTACTTTGCGATTTACCGTTCTTGAGTTATGCCCAGTCTATTAATTACAGTCCCCCACATTTATAGCCACTTTTGGCTAGATCTTATACAAATATTATTTTCTTTTTTATGATACAATGTGGTCTGTTTGGTTTGTATATAAACCCAGTATGTTTGAAATACATGATTCATACTGCGGGGGCTGAGATTGGTGTTCTGGACTTAACTGGAAGAGCTAGGCAGGAAAAAGGACCGATAAGTCTGTAGGCTGCTCGTATGGCATTTATGTGCCGTTGGTCCGGTCAACAAATCACTCTTCTCTCATTGGTGGTATCATTACATTACATAAATAGGACACAGGGCCACAAGTTATAACAAGCTCACTATTTCTAGTTTTTAAGGGATAGATAATAGAAGAATACAATATAATCAGTCATTGAATAGCATCATTTATATAATGTGAACAGTTGGCAGTATGGATTCATCAATGATCTGACGACATATCCATTCGCTTATTTAACTGATTGATTTGAGAAAAATTGTACAAAATCTTAAGAGGTAATAACTTAATTCCATTTTCATGTACAGTAACGAGTATTGAGTTGCATGACTTATTAAGTAATTTAAGTAGCAATTCTGAATAACTACTAATTTGATTTATGTCAAAATAAGATTTGAATAAAAAACGTTCAGAGTAAAGAGCAGTTGGAATGAATTTACATTCTATTTTTCGTTGAAAAGTAATTATTTTAATACATGCACATTGTTGACAATTCAAATAGTCTTTTTGAGACCCAGGATCTGACACCAATTGGATTCTATGCTGAATGCTATTAAAGTACATATATCACCTAACCTCGTATATAATTATCGACTTGAATCGCGTTAGTAAATAATGAAATTAAATAAACCAAATACGAGAATGCTTTTTGAATGTATATATTTTGTACACTTATTTATTTGAACAAACAATTAGAAGAACGAAGCAAAGACAAGTAAACGAAGCAAAATGACGTGCAGCGGAGATGGCGTTTAAGCCAATTCTCTATTAGTCAAGCGTTAATCAATATTTATAGCCAGATAAAAATACGTTACAGGCATGTGATGAATAGGATAAGAAGTGTACACACATACGCTCATATAAAAACAGTCAACGTTGATAAGTCAATACTTAACAAGATCAAAACGTGACTCAAGAAGTATGAATAAACTGGCCTGTCCAGAAGCTAGAATAAGTAACTGACACTACAGTCTCTATGGTCATGGAAATAACTATGTATTGGCTTATTCTTATTTAGTTTTAAAACCAAATAAATGGTTGTTAACACTACTTAGTGAAATAATCCAATTTTCAAATCTTTTTTTAAATAAGGTTCTCGAATCACAGGAAGATTAGAACTTGGAATAGCCAGTTTGAAAATTCATTATGCTCAACCGAACGACACAGGTGCATACACTTGTCATGTTTCTACAGAATATGGATCAGCTGATTGTGGTCCTTCAAATTTATTATGTGAAGCTACTGGAAGTATAATCGCTGCAAGTCAACTTCCAGGTGACAAAGAAAAAGGTAAGTTATCTATCTGGTGTACAAGTCATACAAATAAGATGCTGAGGAATTGTGGTAATTTCAAGTTTTATTTTTTTTAAAGGTCTACTAGCGATCGAAGCCATAGAAGCAAATCTACATGCACCACGTGGTACCGTGTGGGAAGACGACAGTCCACATGAAGCACCTGTTATTATTCAACAACCACAATTAGTTGGTGAAATTGAGGAAGGGACTGCTATTCACTTTGATGTTCAAGTAGAACCGGCTGCTGATCCTTCACTTATTGTTGAATGGTTAGTTTGTTTTATTATTACTTTTCTTTAATTATTTTGTCTTTGGTGATTTATTGTACTGAACTCAAATATATGTAACATACTTAGCTTCAATTTTTTCATGATAAATAACACACATAGTTGTGTCATAACTTTCAGGAAGAGCATACAAACATAAATTCATTAAACTGGTCGTTTATATGTTCTTATCATTCATAGTTTGGGAAAATCTCATTGATCATTTTAAGTCATTCATTAGCTTGGTATATTCCTTAACAATTTTAAAAATAGTCACTGTGGTATCATTCATATTAAAAAGAAAGATTGCACTGTCAAACTATATCTCATGTTATTTCTTAAGACATCAACTTAATAATTCTTTTACTATTCCTAGGTAAACTAAATATTTTATAGACATTCAGAGTAATAGTTTATTTTTCATTTTCATTTAACAATGATTCGACACAGTTTGCCATATTTCGGTTATTCTTAAATATATCAGCTTTATTAGATCAAATCACTACTACCCAACATTGCAGTATGGTGATATAATAAATGAGTGTTATATGAAAAGAGATTTCAAATCATTACGTGTTATAATTCTTTTTTTGTTTTTCAAAGTATGTGACATTTATACATGAAATACATTTTTGACAAACAAAATATAAACTACCACTTAAGCTTTATTTAGTCTATAGACTACAATGACATTTTTTGTATATTTAACTATATATACTAAGATACAATAATCTATAAATCATTTTAGGTTTAAAAGTGGTAATTTATTAACAAGTGGAACAAGATTCAAAGTTGCTTATGAAAGAGGACTAGCCATACTAGATTTGTTGTATACTATTCCTGAAGATAGCGGTGAATATTGGTGTCGGGTAGAAAACAAAGCTGGTCAAGTGGAAAGTAATCATGTACAAGTTTTGTAAGTTGCCTTTAACTTGTCTATTAAAATGAAATTCCATTCTCAAGAGGTATATTTTTAGTTTAATAAACATTTATCAGCTTTTTAAATGCTTAAATGTGGTTATATATGTGACAAGATAGCTTCATAAAATATTATAGTGAGAAAGTGTAGTTTTGATGATTTAGAAACATGGTGAACTGAATACAACTGATTTTGCAGATTATTATCAATAAATATTGATACCGAAATGAATCATGAAATACAATTCGAACTTTGTAACATGAGCATCATTTTTTTGTAACTAAGAATGTTATGCAACTAAAATTACAAACTACATGATTACTCGAAAAGAACCACATTTGTGATTTATGTAGAAACGTTTATTCGATGAAATATATACCTAAAAGTTATTCTATGCATAAATGGAAAGTGGTTAGCAGTGCAATCTTTTGGGGCTCGTCAGCTAGATGTACCTGCACCTTAGACTTGATGATCACTCTGGGACTCAAAACCAGTACCGTTCGCTTCAAACGACATCGCGTTATCAACTTAGCTGCTGAGTCCTGATAAGCACTTGTTTGTGCGATGGGGTCAAGTTCAAATTCACTTGCTATTGTTTACTTGAATTTTTCCATCTTTGTTTATGATTGAAATTGATCTTATTGACATATGTGCATACTGTGAGGATTGCCTCGATATTACCTTAATTCACAAGCATTATATGCAAATATGGATAGTGGCTAGCAGTCGTATCCAGGAGTGAACATCAACTCTGAGATGCAGATACATCCCAAATAGAACGAAACGCGCGTCCTAGTTTCCACCGATAGCCACCACCCACCTTTGCTTAGAATACTTGTGAATTAAAGCAATATCGAGGCAATACGCACAATATGCACATATGTCAATAAGAGACTGATCAATTGTATTCCTAAACCTCAATGTGAAGATTCTAGTAAACAATACCAAGTGAATATAAGAGTTCATTACTTGAAATTTATACATTGGTCAATGAAACTGAATGCAAATGCTCAAGAAATAGCGCACACTGAATTTTGTATAGATCATTTGTCAGTGCAATGAGCAATATCTTCCGACATGATTATTGATTATCATAAAGAAAAAGAAATATTATAAGTTATAAACACTGGTTAAAATTTTTAATCTCAACTTAAGATCTCATAGATATTAGTTTTTAGACATTTGTCTGCACAAATTATGTTTAGAGTATCTTAAGTGAAAACCTGCTTCTTGTATTTTCGCCAAACTTATGTAAATATACGTTAACCATATTGTTATTCTTTAGATAATATGGAGTTGAACAATGTAGGAGGATTTATCGTCTTTCACTTGAGAAAAGAATTAATATTTTTGACATACTGACATACGTATCAGTAGTTGATTTGTGTATTCTAAATTTTATGACTATTCTAGCGACAATCACGAATATCATTGGCTGACTTAAATATTTTGATAATTAAGGTTATACAACCATCACCATATGTAGGTGGAATTTTCTAATGAAATTATTTTATCCAGTATCATCCATAAGCATCAAAAGGATATTTAAACACTGACAATATATTTATGAATTTATAATGATGTGATAAGTTCATGTGAACAGATAAAAAACAGAGAAACCGTCCATAAAATCATTGAGGCTAGTTTAGATATGTCCGGAAGTAAATGTTAATTCATTCAAATTCGTGTCAGTCGTTCTTATACATAAATTCCAAAATCTCTAGCATTTCTCGTTTATTTGACAGATGTATATTCCTGTCAGTTATTATGATGTTTATGGATGAGCTATTAATGAGACCATTAATATACGTTGTCTTAGTTCAAAAATATATGAATAATTATCTAGATTAGAGGAAACTTTAAATATTTTGTCCATAACACCATTTATGTACTATTTCACTGGTTTTCATCCTTTTTTCATCAAATAAAAATTTCTGTATCAGCACTATTCGTAAGACAGGGAAATTCTCCAAAATTATTCATAACATTCCTATTTTATTTTCATCGTCTTTGTTATAATGTCAATATGGTATTCTACATTAGGGACAAATTCATTTTAGAAATTTCCTCTTCTTCTCTCTCTTTTTAATCATCTAAATACCTATCTGTATTTGAAACAATTACACAGCTATACACATATACACACACACATTTTAGAGCATATACACCTAGACTTTCAAACTATACAACTACAAATTAGATAATTCATGATATTTGGACAATGAAAGAATAAATATTTTGCACAAAATCAATAAGCATTCACAAGCTTACGTTAAAAGTATCTAAGTATATTCATTTTTAAAAAAACAATGATATCAGTAATTAGTTTTAGAATCATTCTAATGATAAACAATTACAAAATGGATTCATCATATAGGTCTTTGTATAAAAAGAATGATCATTTAATAAACCGAGATTTCTGAAATGAGGTGATTTATAACATAAGTCATGTACTGCACAATATTGAAAGTAGCTTGTTTTATTTTTAAATATTAAGTAAGACGATTATAATTTTTTGGGAAACTGAAATTCTACGTTATTCTCACGGTACCATATAAACAAACCATTAGGAGGTTTTTTTAAAAAAAAAAAGAAGCCAGCTTACGTTCCTAAAAGCATCAGCTGTATTTTTCAGTTAGAAAAATATCTGAAAATAGTTAAAACTGAAAATATTAAAGAAAGTTATTGTTTTAAGACTAGTTGCTGCAAATATTTATTGAATTTTTGGTTAAAAGAAAAAATCTAGTGCTACGTTTAATCAACTTCTGAACCCATGAATTATAAATACGGAATACATCTATTAAGATATTAAATAAGAAAGATTAGTTCAGTGAAGAGTTCTCTTTTCGGCGAATTCATTTTCAAAGCTGTACAATAGCAAATTTATATACTTATTTTTTTCAGAATGATAATAATACTGAAAAAAATAAGTATATATATTTGCTATTGTACAGCTTTGAAAATGAATCCGCCGAAAAGAGAACTCTTTACTGAACTAATCTTTCTTATTTAATTATAAATATGTCATAATTTATAGTTCAGCCACATAGTTATCTAGAACATTTTGAAGAAAAGATATTTAGTTATAAACATGAAATTCATATGTAAGAATGTTTTTTTTACGAATTTATCACCAAAGCGCTCCATATATATATATATATATATATATATATATATATATATATATATATATATATATATAAGGCTTAATCGCGTGAAGAAATGTAAAAAGGCCATTGACTTGATGGAAAGATCACAACACTAGATTGTATGCTATAATTGATAACGATACATGGTTGTGTTACGGCTTCATGACGAGCATAAAGCACGTGTATATGAAATCAATAATCCTTAATTAGATTTCAATGTTATTTTTTTTATCACTGCACACTGATATTAAGTTATAATCATTAACAAAAATAGTACTATTGTGATTTATTCGAAATAGAATATAGCTGAAATTTATCTCCCTACCATTAATTTTATCGACAAACCAGAATTTGTTAATGTATATTTAAGGTTAATTACATGGTATACAAATGCGTAATGCAAACATTATTTATGTTGTCGACCGTAAATGTCTTCCTGATGATTTAAGGTTAATTGCTTTGTACACACACGAAAAAAGAGAAAACTTATAATTCATTGTTAAATAGTAAGTCAATGGACCTAATCCACATGTAATTCATAATGTTGAATACATTTTCATTTTCTGTGGTCTTTTACATAGAAACTACTCAATTATTTGTGACTTAAAATAAGTAAGATATCTGATAAATGTAAATTTAGTGATAAACAAAATTATAGCTGACAAATATTTTATTCTGATTTATGTATGGCCAGATATGAACAAATTGTAGGCTCAAACCGTAAATACGACTGACCAATTACTTTGTATAATGTGGAGTCCACAAAGAGATTAGTGGAATATATGTTACAGTTAAAAAAGAACTTTGTGTTATTTAAGTAACACAATCAATGATTTTATAGTAGTCTAAGATCAAAATCTCGTCAAGACTGCACGTCAGATTTTTGCATATATTTGAACTACTTATAATTACTTATATAGTATTAATAGGCCATATTGATTTAATGTATTTCTGATATTGCACACTTTTAAAGGATCCAGTTTTATAAATCATATATTGTAAACATAGAAAACTACGAATCCTTTATGTGATCTACATAACTGGTGTTTTCACTTGTTTTTCTTCATTAGATGTAATCCTAGTGCATCTGTAATCACACACAGCAATCTCCTACAAGGTTCAGAAGGTTACAATCTAATAAAGGCTATTGAGGAAGTCGACCAGCCGTAAGAGTATAGAAAATTTGATTTTTCCATATGACTTTTCTTCATCTCATAAAATTTAACTATATACTTCATGCGTTATTAAGTAAAGTGAAATATTTAACAGCTTTAAATGACTTTTTCAGAGATGGAGATGAATACAGGTACATAGAAGATGAAGAAGTTGACTCAGCCCCCAACTTTGACGTAAAGCCTCAACCTGCTACAATAGGTGAAGGTTCTCCAGTTAAATTTTTAGTACGTGTTAGTGGCAAGCCAACACCACAATTGACTTGGTATCTGAATGATGAACCAATTGAACAAGTACGTTTTATGAATTGGCAATTTAATTTGATTCCAATACTACCTAGTGACATAAATTTAACGCAGATAAATTAGTTCCAATGTTATGTAAAATATTAAGAGTTATAGTGTTTTAATATAATTGGTGATGACGCGTGTGGGTAAAAAATTGGTTATTGGGGCTTAGTTGATTTTGAGCTGCTAACTAACATTCGCTTGAAAAAACAATATTTTCATATTGGTTACTACATCTAGATGTACTGAAAATGAGTAACGTCCTAAAGTGATTGCAAACATGACACATAACTTATTCACCAAATATCTGGGAGTTTTAATAATATTTTGGTAATTTCAGTTGCAAGAGAGATTAAAAACCTAAGTTACTAAACATTTATAGTTTTATGTAACAACTATAACAGATAAAATGAATAATCAGCAACTACTATTGTGTTATTGATTTCTTTTAATATTCTCAGTGAACCCTTGATAAATTGATACGCATACAGATGTCTTAACATATTGATCTAACTCTCCAACTTAACAAAAGAGCATCAGAACAACACGTTTTGTCAGACAAACAAACCAAGATTTTGTAGAATATGAGGACGAAATTAGAAACTACTAACCTGAAAGCTTTATACAGGGATATTACATATCTATAGGAAATTTATCTTCGAAACAGTTTTGACTCTGAGAACAATTTAACTAGATTGTCTAAAATCTATAAACCTAGCTTCCGTATAACATGAAAAGTATGAAGACTACCTAATGCTTATATCAAACATACTTCTGATCAAAATTTATCATTGTTTCTTTTAGGATTCAATTACAAAAATTTATAGTGATGGTGCAATAAACTATCTAGAAATGAGTCGTTGTCCTGCTTTGCAAGGAACTAATAAATTACACGTTATTGCACAAAATCAATTAGGCAAAGCTGAAGCTGAGACCATTCTCACCGTTTTATTAGCAGAAGATTTCAGACCGGATTTAAAACATGTTAAACCAGGTAATCGAATAATTAAGTTTAGTGAACTAAACGTATACATATTTTTGTAATGCATTTTTATGGTTTTTACTTGATGCACAAAGACATATAAGCAAAATATTACATGATTTCTTATTCAAAGTGAATATGGAGGAAGTAAGTACATGTAGGAAAGTTGATGCATATTCTTCGAGAAAGTACCAATTTTATAATACTATTACAGTAAATATTGTTGAAATAACATTATTTCTCGAAAATCTAACATTACTTCAAATCTATAAACAGATTTATTACTAGGGACGAAAATCCTTTATCTTCGATTTCGTGAGCTATGAGACTAGGCCTTGAGTCAATCTAAAGATAAATTCAAATGAAGATCACTAACAAAATAGTTGCAAAATCACTTACTAATTAAACAGCAACCTGGGTGCTCAGTTTTATCATCAGTAATAAAAATGTTTAGTCAAGTTATGAATTAAAGCAAAGTTATTTATAATGTAGTGCCGGTTATTATGTTAAGCCCATATACCTTATTCTAGCCTTCGGACAGCCCATTCTACTTGAGTCACATTCTGACCTTGTTATTTATTCACTTTTCTCTATGCCATTCGCTCCATATACGAAATATATGTATTCAAAAGTCCATTCTCGTTATTCGACTTACTCAATTCCGTTATTGACTACCGCGATTTAAGTCGATGATTATATGCGAGGATAGGCGATAACAAACATTCATTACGATCTTCTTGGAGTCAGATCCACGGGCCATTAAAATACCACTCATTGTCATTGTTCAGTGACAATACTGAAATTTATTATAGTAATCGTATTCACACTTAATGATGACCAGTGTGTAATACCTAACTGTAAATGAAAAGCAAACAATTAGTGATTCGATCTCATCAAGAACTTTTCATGAACACATCTTAGTGAATAAGATAAATATTATTCATAAATAGCTTGAAAGACTAAGGATTCAGCACCATATCAGTAACATAGGTCCATTTGATAAATAAAATTAAACATTAGTGAGATATTCATTAATCATAGATAACAAAAAAAAGATTTATCTATTAACTGTACACTCTCCAGGTAGTGATTATTTCTATAAATTCAAAGAGTCGTAGAAACATAGAAGTGTGGCAAGTAATTTTATTGATATCAACAACCAACCTAATGTATATAACATCTGTTTGTTTTGTATTTACTTGTTTTTTTTATTTTAAATGAAAGCACATTTATTTGCACATGATATCAAGCGCACTTAAGTTAATACTTGGGTAAATAACTGATTAACATTTCAGTTTATACAGTTGTAGGTTACTAACTGTTGTTCAAAGAATTAATAGGTTAAGGTTTTTAGGAAATGTATTTTATTGATAGATTTAATCCCACTTCTGAAAAGTATTAAAGTTGTGAAGTACATTCATAAACATTCAATAATCATTAACATCATTAAAACAAATTAGACATGTGACTAATAAAAGAATTTGTCATGTGATTAAATTGTTCCAACTAAAAAATATAATGTTCTATATAAAGTTGTGGAGATTATTAAGTTTTTGATTGAGATCATGAACTAATTGATGCTAGACCACCACTGAAAACCTGGAAGCACGAAATTGCGTGACCATCTTCCGTTGTACTGAGGTAGATCAGTGGAGCTAACCTGTTTCGAGTAGAGACAGGTATCTGGGTTCAAATCTTGCGAGCGGGATCGTGCATGCGCACTGCTGAGTAGTCCCATAATAGGACGAAACGGCCGTCCAGTGTTTTCAGGTTTTCAATGTTGGTCTAACATCAGTCAGTTCGTGATCTAAACAGGAAACATAGTGAATGAAATAATTAGTTGCTTTAATTTAAAACACTTTAAATGCTGAAGATATCAAAATGGAACAATAACCACAACACATTAACGTCAAAAGTTTATTCTATGTTTGCAAAGATCCTCAAACACTGAAAGTTTTGTATGAAATATATAAAGATTTTTAGCATGATTGCAGTTCTGAGCATAACGACCCTAACTTTAAAAATGATGTGAATTTTATCAAGTCATTGTATAATTTTACATGCTTTTATATGTTTGCTAACACCACTGATTTGATCTGGAAGTTAGCGAGCATTTCCAGTTAAACTGATAACATGTATATAATTTGAAAAATTGAAATAGTTCCAGTCTAACATCACTAGTCTCTTGATTACTTTTCAATAGTTCTTGAAGCTATGTGATTTTATTTAGTAGCAATATTGAAGAATTTTTTTTTCTGAAGTTTTTTTACCCAGATAAGGAGGTTTTTAATTGTAATCGTTTCTGCATTGGCCTGAAGGCAATGGATACTCACTGTACCAACAACTACCCATTCCACCACAATCACACTGTTTAATCAATAGAACCAGATGTTGCTTAAACTGTATCCTTAACAATCTTGTATACTAAATTTGGTATGGTTATTTATATAGTCGTTTGTTTAATTATTAATTGTTCTAGATAAGCTAGAACATTTTCAGAAATTTATAAGCCATAAACAAATTTTAATCTTCTAATTTTATTTTATATGAAACTTTCAGAAAATCCATACAAAAAGATGGTTGGATTACGTAAAGTAGATTGTTCTCCAGAATTAAACAAAGCTTTAACAAGAACTAAACCATCTGCACAAACAATTATGGAAATGGAAAGAGGTGAGTGTTATTAAACTTTGAATTATGCTTTATTTTATTGTATTCTAAATCCAATTATTTGTCATGTAATATGTATGTTCAATCGGAAAATATTACAGTTTTTGGAATTCATTTGTCCATTTAATAACATTGATGTAATCATTAAGTCAAGTACTAGATATGTTGCTTTAGAGTATCTTAATTGATGAATTTTTTAAAATTCTATATAATTTCTTATAACTTGGTGCCATACTTGGACATAAACACATTATATTGAGTTCCATGGTGTGCACATAAAGAATTTTCGAGATCAAAGATTACATACTTGTACGTCAAGGGTACGATTCAAATTTGAACTTGATCAAAAGTTCTAGACCTTAAGTGTGTAAAGACATATCCAAATCTTAACTGCAAGAACACATATCAGTTATTGAAAATCATTTATGCTCTTGAAAAGAACGATTATCAGATATATACGTAAAAAATATTTACTATTTCATTTTGATTTTAGGTTCTGAAATGAAAGCACGTATGTATCGTTCACCAGAAGTAATTGAAGCAGAAAAGATGTTGGATCAACTTGCTTTAAATTTAAAAAAGTCTGAAGTCAAAAGAGTAAGTTTAATTTTTTGATAGAGAATGTTGTGAAAAATAATTAATTATTTCGAATAATTTTCGGTAATACTGATAGATGTGCGGTTTACTCAAGAAATACTTATCGTTAGGCTTTGATTATTCTCATTTGTTTCAGTCAATTGAAAAGTTTCCAAATATATACTAGTAATTTGTAAAATACTCCTGATATTCTTGAATACGTAAAGCGTACGTTATGATCCAAAGTGCTCTAACCAACTAAGAATTAAAAAGAGGACAAAAGAACAACCTCTACAGAGTTTCAAGGCAGGTGAACTGAATTCTGTTTAGTAGTTGATTTAGAAGAATCTACTCAATGATTTAATGGAGAAACAGCTAGCGGGACACAAATGATCAACGCGTGATCAGAAAATGTATTTTCAACAAAATCTATAAAATACGTATATGAACTGCACCAATTTAATAAGGTCAATGAATTTGTCACTGTAAATTAATTCAATCCAACTTAAAATAGTAGGAAAAATTAATGAAAATATTCAGCTTTATGACTGAAGATTTCCATATCTATATATACTTGAGTAAACCAGGGATGTACTAATAGTATGTCATTTTAATACACGGAACAGGATCTTGATAATCTAATTGTTTTCATCAAATAATAACGCATAATCAATGGATGTTTTATCACATTTTGAATGATGCAGTAAGTTTTGGTATGACAATAATTGTTCTTTGAAATCCCATCCCATAAATGTAACATGTAAATAAACAAATGATACAGAGGTACTTGATTACATTTTATCAACATCAGTAACCAGGTGTTCAAGATATTTTAACACTTGATTTTCACTGGTCATTAAGCAGTATGTACATTTGTATATCCATACAAAAAAAATTCAAATATTCGTTACAAAATGTAATCAAAGTTTGGACTTACACAGCAATGTCCGTAACCCATTTGTAGACGTAAGTTACTATGAGTGTTCAGTAAAATAATATTTAATCAACTGAACGAATATAAAGATTCATTGAATTGAAAAAAGAAAAAAAGTATCTTAAGGCAATATTATTCTGTGAAAAAATTGAAATATTTTAAATGTTAAACGAGTTTTTGGTTTCTGTTCACTAGTGGATTAACTAAATAGATACCTTTTGTTATGTATGCGAAAATGTTCAAATGAACATTTGTGGATAGCAACTAGAAAGTCAAATGGATATCTAGAATGAGAACTATGGGAAAATAAACTTCTAATAAGATAATTTAGAATTCTTTAAAAAGATACATCACATACTGTTTCACAGATCTTTTTAACAATTAAGATCAAATTAAAAGACTAATATTTAAAGGAAGAATATTGTTTTTGATAAATTCTCTCCGGGTTCTACAATTATATATCCAAATTAATAATCCAAATAAAACGACTAGGTTAAGGGCAAAGTGCATTGTTCCACTCATAGAGACGATAGAAGATATATGTGAACAATGAAAATGAAATTGAAACTGCAGTTCATATCAATGTCGTAAAAGCGTTATTACTGAAATTCACAATGAGTGTGAATCTCAAGTTCAACGGAGAAATTTATAGACAAACGGATGATGTTGCATTGGGCTCACCATTGGGCCTTATATTAGCTGACATTTTTCTAGTCAAATTAGAAAATAATCCATTCATATGGATCATTCAAAAATTGGCATTTTACTTTCGATATATAAATGATACATTCATCCTTTTTAAGGACAATACATCACAGCAAGAAGCTCTTAGACAGCTTAATGAAGTACATCTAACCATTGAGTTTACATCTGAGGAAGAGAGTAACGGTTGAGTAGCTTTTTTGGAAGTTCTCTTAAATAAGAGATCGGATGAATTAGTAAAAAAGAATTTAAACAGAAAAAAATGCCTAGACAGCGTTGTACATATATTTCCTTAGCTTTGTACTTCTACAGTACAAAAGAAGCGTGATCAAAACTCTTAGTTACCGAATAGGGACTATATGTTCTACGGATATAGTTGGAGAAAGGATACCCTAGAAAGTTTATAATTAAATATATGATCACGAAGTAGGAATAGGCGAAATACAAACGGTGAATAACAAATCCTTGTTCGTGAGCCTAAAATTCAGAGGGAATGCGTTTAACAAGTTATATTGATCGACGTTCTAAAAGTTCACATTTTCGTGCTTGTAAACACCTCCCAGCGTAACTAAGCAAAGTCTGGTGAAGAAAGTGAGCACTTCAATATTGACCCATTTCGTTTAAGCTGATCAATAGTGCCAGTATAAACCAATCATATGCTACCACTATGTAATGAACTATTTTAAGGAAAGATGAAAGCTATAGTAACGGCTATTTATTTAATCAATCTCAATCGTTTCTTATCATAATATTTAATTGTTTCAGTTCAGATAACAACAGTAGACAAACAACTCTACAAATATAAATAAAGTTACTAGGTCGAATATAGTTCTTCGCTTAAATTTGAAATAACCACAATTGTAATCCTTGATTTTATCAATAGACCACATTTAGAAACACTTAATATATTATTTTTATATAAAGTGGAAATTAATATGAAGCTCAGTTCACTTAAACACTTAATGTTTTCTCTGTTTATATGTATTTTAATATTCTAAAACTAATATTTTGAAATTTGTAGCCTTTGGTAAATGGTGGTCATCAAAATGATGTAGCCTAATTTTGGCGCGAAAAACTTCAGTGCACTAACTCGTTTAGATATCGATGGAGTACAAACGTTTATTTACTACATAACATCAATTACAAACAGTCAAACTTCGGTACATTGTGCATTTAAAAACAACAAACAATCATAGAAGACTAACTATAACACTCTACACAAAGGAATTGACATTATCGTCGTGTATTTATATTTATACCAAGCTTCTCTTATCTTCAATCTTTCTTGTCTTTTTCTCGTCCTTTATCATTTACTTTTCAGTAGTATCTTATGATCATATTTAATTTCAAGCATTTAGTTAAACTATCATATAGTACTCGCGAGTGATATTGATATGAAATACTAAAACACGAACAAACGATTTTTCAACTATTATTAAAATTAACTGATTCATTATTTGAATGAATGGCTTCTGCTTATTCTTGCAATTATGTAGTTGATGAAATTCAACCCATTACATTTAATTGTTCATGGGTTTTTAGATTTACAAAGGAACACACAAGCATTTATTTATATAAATATATATATGCTTGATAATCTTTCAAATAATGGAATCTAAACATATTTATTCCATTATAGCACAATGATTATAATCAGTATTGAATTGAAACTAATTGTGAATAACATTAAAACAAATATCTACTTCAATTTTGAACAATATGACATACATATTTAAAATGTTCCATTTATTCTGTTACAATGTTTATTTAAAAGTTTGTCTTTGAATTTATTTTCATTCATGGAAAAAAATAGAAGGAAAAAAGTATTATCATCAATATAATACTAAGTTTTATACTGAATATATATGTCACTAGTTAAGTTGATCACAAGTAGTTTGTTGTAATGATAAAATACTTCTTTGAAGATATTCATTGAATTTCTAACATTTTAGGAAGTTTTTTCAGTATTTTAGTAAAAGTATTCAAAATAACAAGGATATAGTGAAAATCATATGCGTGTAATAAGATACTGGTAATTTGTAATGTTGTGTAGTATGGTAAATTCAAAGAATTAATCCAGCATATTTATCCCTAACATAATAAAACTATCTCATATATATATATATATATATATATATATATATATATATATATATATATATATATATATATATATATATATATATATATATATATATATATATATATATATATACCCAGTATTAAAGAAATATGCTATACTAACATTATCGGTAGCTCATGCAGTTGAATGCTGAAACCCTAACAAACGGACACTTTTCGTACTTCTAAAAATACAAGTAAACAGATCAGTAGCTAAGTGGATAACACGATGACGTTTGAAGTGAACGCTATTGGGTTCGAGTTCTAGTAGGAACATCAACTCTGAGATACAGGTACATGGAGGTGACGAATTTCGAATAAGACGAAACGCGCGTTCTGGATTCCAGTGTTGACCAATATCTATCTTTGCTTAGAATGCTTGTGAATTAAGGCTATATCTAGACAATACGCACAGTATGTACATATACCAATAAGAGACTGATCAAGTGCAGTCCTAAACATCAATGTGAAGATTCATGTAAACAATACCACGTGAATTCAAGTCTTATTTATTTTACAATTATGTATAATGCCACATACATTTATATACTGAGATAAAATTAAAATCATGATACACATGACTATTTGAAATGTTTACGAATTATAATATTAGTTGTACTTAACTTCAGGATAAACAACATTAAGTTACAAAAAACACAACATCAACTATCCAAAAACGATAACCCAACTTCATTATAACTGAAAACAGTGTTTCAGCGATTTCATTTTATGCACATATTTATCATATATGAAGGTTAGGTTTGTGACAGAATTTACTAAATACCATTTCTGATTTAAGAATGTTCAACTAATCAGTATTCCTATAATTCATCTATAAGATAACTTACAATGGTACAATAGAACACGTTACTGTATTCAATTAAATAGAAGTAAACTACGAAACACGATAAACAAATTATGTGAATAACTTGGTCTTGTTATCATTTTGTAATGAAAAAAAACCTGATAAAATCCAAACCAGTTGCATTTCTATTGGGTCTTCATTTAATCTATTCAGGAAATCATAAATCAATAAAGCATGAGTGGGAAAGATCAAGCTATCCTAGAACGTTTTATCTACATTTTATGGTGAGAAAATATATTCTTTTTGATGAAACTTATCAAGCTTTCACTGGCTCTGTTATTATTAATAACAAATCACAAATAGCGACTCTCATTTGACACCAATTCAACATTTTTTCCCCACAACTGATGTTTGTGTTAAAAATTAGCAGCTTAACCAAGAGTTGTGTAATAATAAATGGCAAGAGCTTGCCAAAAAACGTTAGCCGGACATCTGAGGAAAAATTAATTGTTGACCAGATTATTAAACTAGTAAATACATAGAGAAGATGAAACATTTGCATAACAAACTATATTCAGTGATTAGCATATATTACGTTTAGTTAGCATAACATCGGGTATCCTGTGTATTTTTGAATTAGTTGAAAATCTACATATGAAGTTTTTTGAATTTCGATGAAAAGCATGTTTTAATTATATTCTCTTTGAAAAATTTGACCTTCTACAAATCCAGAGTAAATAGTTTGACGACAACGTATAACCTATCATCTCCACAACTTTCAAACTTCTTTTTAATGTTTGTGAGAGTAACTTTGTACATCTGAGTTCTCGTCAAATATTCTATCATACAAAAGAACATCTGCTATACTATAATACTAATAATAGGCTTCTGAAAAACTTGATATTATTCTGTCGAAAACGATGTACGAAATCAATAGAAGGCATAAGTGGATGATTTGATACAGATGCAAAGATATATTCAATTACATTAGTAATTTCATTCTGACCTCATTGATACATGTTTTTTCTTCTTGACAGTTAAGTATTTCATTCACATTATTTCTAGTAATTTCAATAGAATACGAAAAAACTAATTACAATAAGTAATAGACCTCACAATTGAGTTATGTACATCAACAAAACCTACAAACAACAGTGGTTTCCAGAGATTATTTTAAATAAGTAGCCTATGGAAAGATATAGTATAAGGTATACTGATAAAGATGATCTCGGCTTTGTATCTTTTTTTTTCTTTTAGCCTTATATTCTTTATTCCCAATATAAATTACAAATGATTATTAAGAACTCTGTACTCAATAATGAACTACGCTAGTATAAACTATCAGTCTGAAGTTAGTCAATGATTCTACTACATTTTAATCAAACCCAATTGATTTTAATGAAACATTTCTTTACAAATATATTTAACAGATTGTATGATGAAATTATTTTAGACAGTAGTAACACTTTTAATAGCCTAATTCAATTATCAATATGTTGATGATCATGGACGTCACATAGAATCTTAGCAAAGTTCTTGGTCTATTTCATTCGATAATGACCAAAATTACAGATTGCAAATGAGCATTTAACATACATTTGTAAAAGTATCTCATCAACAAAACTTAAAGCTGAAAATATGCACAACAGTAAGAGAGGTAATCTAATTTGTTTATTTAAATGTAATGTAACATAATATATTTAGGAAAACAATTAAAAGATTAAATATGTAAATAAATTGATTGACTGAATAAGATAACACATATACACTAATTAAATATATATGGATATATATCTATCAAGAAGTTAGATTAAAATAAATTTCATCCATCCCCCAGATATTTCCAATACGACACATAATAAGATTTGATTGATTTAACATAGAAGAATATAATTCAGTTCTCAACGGATAGCAATTATTCATATGCTCACATTCAAACCACTTAATATATCCTGCCGGTTCACCTTGTGTATTTATTGGACAGGTAAGTGAATGTAGAGAAATATCCTCAAATGAATTGGTGTTAGTTTTTTGAAGTTCTGGTGGATAACCTACAGATATGTTGAATTTATATAGTTCAATAAAAGTGTTATCATAATTAATACCACAAATCCAGATTCCTGTGTGAATTTCAGGATTTGCCTGTTCAATTATCAGATATTCAGAAGTTGCCTGAAAAATCTCTTCTCTAAAGTAAGAAATATAAAGAAATTTCGTTAACTAGCGATATAAATCATTTGAACAATATCTAAATGCTAGGAAAATTAATAATCTTGATTCTTATAAATTTATCTCTGAATTATAGATGGTAAAATCAGAACATTAACTATCATCTGTGAAAAACTTTAAACTAAATATCGTAACTGAGTATTCATTAAAACTTTATAACTGACTGTGAAAAGCAATTCTCAAATACCTAGGGAACATTGAAGTTCAGCCATGCCGAGTATGAAGCAGTCGCCCATTAATGACGTTGAACGATGCTTGCGCAATATCGAGGAATAATAAAATCTAAACATTTAGACCACTGGTTTGTAGTCTAAAGCCCAACCTGTTGAAATGGTACCAATAGTCCTGAATTTAATACATATGTCATTACTAACGCGTATTAGTGAAGTCTTCCATACTAGGGCAAATATCTGTATACGACTTTCTGATTTTCAATAAACGTCTATTTAACTTCAGTTGAAGTTAAAAAATCTTCAAAATCCCCCTTACAGTATAGCTTAAAGATCGCTTAAATTACATTGAATAAGAAGTAAGTATGAGTTAACGTTTAAGCTAATGTGAAATTGTAGGTAAATACTTACTTATTTTTCTTCCATATAGTGTCGCCTAAATACTGATTATGGGGACAACTGAGAAACACCAATCCATCCTTCGGTACCATGACCGTATCATGTGACGATACTGCATTTTGAGAACTCATAGCAAGTATTTTATTTGGTTGTATAGAAACTACATTTAAAATCATAGTAGCTTTTGCATAGTCTGTAGTTTCTAAATCGGATGCTTCACAAACCCACCCTCCTGTATGCAACTGATTTTTAGTATTTTGTAGTAATAAATGTGATATCCAAATATTTTTATCTATAGAATGATGATGAACTGTCACTGGATACCTAAAATTTTGAGAGAAATATTAAAGTTAACCTTAGCGTAGAAAACGCATCTTTCAATCAGACGACATTTTAATTTGTTTACCCTTGAACTATTAGGGAAGGTTTATATTAATGTTTGTTGAAAAAAATATTTTCAAACGATTATGACTAAACAGTATATGATTGTGAATTATACTCCTGGATTATGGGAACCGTCTACTACTTGTTTATAATGTAAAATTACTTTATAGAAAGATTTGTGTAATGTATGACTACATTTTATCGAGTAAAACTTTCATATTGAAGTCGTTGAGTTCAAGAAACTGCAAATAATTAATAAACCGAGTGTTGTAGAAAAAAACATTTCAGAACGTCGTGATTTGTTCCTTCAAAAGTGTCGAGAGTATGATTGTCATGTAAACCAGCTAAAAACAGTTTTACAGAAAAGTGCATTTTCGTGCCGAGAACCAGATATTTCTGTATAGTATTTAAGTAATGTCCACTGATTATAAAGGAGAGGATAAACCTGTTCAGATTTACTATCTTAGGTAAGTGATCCTCTATTGAAACGAATTTGTGTCAACATAATAATCATCTACAGCCAGGCGATCAGTAAAAATATTTAGATAATAGGCAATATGGCTACGTAGACCATTGTATTTTCATCGTTACCTAAGTTGCAGAATAAAATTTAATATATATGCCTATCTATTGTCCTTGTAATTTGCTTGAAAATAACAGGTTAACCTATGCTTCCAATTTGTCCATATAAGTTTACTAAACGTTACTAACAACAATATACTGATTTATATTAACAATAACTTGATAGTATATAACGGCATGAAGAGTGAAACACGTTCTCTTTATTTAAACGCTATTTGAGCTAAATAAATTTAACATGTATAAAATATTAGAAT